ATGCCGCTGACTATGGATACTTAGATTTAATATATCCAGATAAAAATCTTAAAGAAATTGATAGATTGATGATATATTTAAATCTGAAATCTCCAGATATGCCCAAGGAAGATTTATTTATCTTAAATTTTATACTATCAATCCAGAAGTCGATTGAGGAATATTTTATCCAGTAGAACACATTATAACAGTTGGATGAGTTGAAAGGAACTTCTCCATGGACATTGGAGAGATTGACAAACCATTACCAAAATTTATCAGAGCATGGATCAAGAATCGTAGAGTTCTTGGATGTAAAGTTCTCTATAATATGGCTAAAAATCTTTATGAAAAGAAATTTAGATATTTATGCCAAAATCAATGATGGACCCTACTTGCTAATGATGGAAAGTAAAAATATGAGATCCTCAAGGAATTTATCAATAAATTTGATAATCATCAAATGCCAGGAAACATCTTAACCCTAAAACGTGCATGTGAAGCAAGAGATTGTTCCACATGTAGACAAAATAATTTGAAGAAATCTTACAGATACAAAAGAAGACAAAGATGACAAGATAAAAAGGAGGACAGCTGCATGCAAAGACAAACCCTTAAAGAAGATGTGAGATAAAGCAGTTGCATAATGGAGAGGCCAGAAGACTCTTGATAAGAAAAACATAACTTATTATGGAATGATATAAGAGACCAATAATTTTGCCTCAATTACTTGTATAAATAGAGACCTTGGGCTAAGAGGAAGGAAGAACGAATTTGAGCACTCAATTTTGTGAGAAAGCCAAAAAACCTTCTGCTAGAATCTTGTATCAATTTTCGGATAGATCAATACTACCAATTTTAGATAGATCATTCATATTCCAATCCTATCAATAGAAATGAGTTTCTAAACTGTTTTTCTCATAGATTCTTGAAAGATTAAGTAATAAATTTCTTTCTTACTTTAACAAAAAGAAAGTTTTCTTTATTTAAAATTTGTAGTTTTAATTCTAAGAAACGATACAGTGAGGGCAAGAAGCTGAAATAGCAAAGATCCACATTGAAGCAAGAGGCCGTTGAGGGAACAGTTTGCATATTCAAAGCCTGAAAGTCACTCGATTCTAAGGATAAAAACTTAACATCAAAACTAAGGTAAAACTATTATTTTTGTTAAATTTGGAAAGAATTCTTGCAAGATTTTAAAGAATCGAAGGGATTATTCATTTTAATGTTTATGCTTAAATGTTTATGATTATTCATGATGTTTGAACTGTTATTGTTTCATTATCTTTATATTATCTAAAAATGTTAGGATATACAGTTAAAGGATTAGATAATTTGTTAAAAGAGTGTTAGAAAAAATAAAAAAATTAGATCTCAACTAAAAAATAGAGATAGACTATCCGAAGAATATAAAAAACTTATAGCAGAATATGAACAAAAAATTATAGATTATGCTA